CTGACCAGGCATCGAACCTGGGTCCCTTGCATTGGGAGCACGGAGTCTTACCCACTGTGCCACCGGGGAAGTCCCCATTTGTTTTATTTTTTTAGATTCCACATATAAGTGAAATATATGGTATTTGACTTTCTCTGTCTGACTTATTTCACTTAGTATAATACCCTCTAGATCCATCCATGTTGTTGCATATGGTGAGATCTCATTCTTTTTTGTAGCCAACATTCCTCTCCTGGCCATTCTTGTTTCATTATCACATCATATTTCAAATCAGTCCCTGGTGCCTGTGTCCCCCAGTAAAAAACCTGTTCATTTATTTATTTATTTATTTTGCGGTACACGGGCCTCTCACTGTTGTGGCCTCTCCCCCTGCGAAGTACAGGCTCTGGACGCGCAGGCTCAGCGGCCACGGCTTACGGGCCCAGCCGCTCCGTGGCACGTGGGATCCTCCCGGACCAGGGCACAAACCCGCGTCCCCTGCATTGGCAGGCAGACTCTCAACCACTGCACCACCAGGGAAGCCCCCTGTTCATATTTTTATTAGATGGTGTTAAACTTCTTAGGTAACTTATGGAGAATTGATTTCTTTATGATTTGGGGTCTTCCTCCTCATAAATACCCTATGTCTGCATTTTGACAAGCCTCTGTGCCCTACAATAAAGTCTTACATGTTTGCTATTACATTAATTCCTAGCTATTTCATCTTCTTTTGTTGTTGTTTGACATGCCAGCCTTAGGGTCACTTTAACTGGTTCCAGTCTTGTACTCTAAAAACAACAAAAGATGATATTTATTTATTTATTAAATTTATTTATTTATTTTTGGCTGCGTTGGGTCTTGCTGCGTGCAAGCTTTCTCTACTTGCAGTGAGCAGGGGCTACTCTTCGCTGCGGTGCACGGGCTTCTCATTGCAGTGGCTTCTCTTGTTGTGGAACACGGACTCTAGGCACACAGGCCTCAGTAGCTGCGGCACACGGGCTCAGTAGTTGTGGCTTGCGGGCTCTAGAGCGCAGGCTCAGTAGTTGCAGCACTTGGACTCAGTAGTTGTGGCACGCGGGCTCAGTAGTTGTGGCTTGCGGGCTCTAGAGCGCAGGCTCAGTAGTTGCAGCACTTGGACTCAGTAGTTGTGGCACGCGGGCTCAGTAGTTGTGGCTTGTGGGCTCTAGAGCGTAGGCTCAGTAGTTCTGGTGCATGGGCTTAGTCGCTCCAGCGGCATGTGGGATCTTCCCAGACCAGGGCTTGAACCCATGTCTCCTGCATTGGCAGGTGGATTCTTAACCACTGCTCCACCAGGGAAGTCCCAAGAGATGATATTTAAATCAGGCACTTTTGGTAACTTTACCTTCTTTACCTCTAAAGACCCTTTGAGGTAGGAACTAATACGACTCAGTCTTGACATAGTAGAAAGTGGTGAATAAATGAATGATTGATCCTCACTTTGCCGTTGGAGGCCCAGAGGCCCTGAGAGGTTAAGTTCCCCAGGGACACTTAGCTAGTCTTACACGTTAGAGCAAGGTGTTAACTCATGGGTTCCACTCCAAACAGATGCTTCTGATCACCACGAGATACAGTTACGGGGATGTTAAAGGTCTTCTGGAGACAAACATGGGATCAGTGAGAAAAGTTGCTGACATTTATTGAGCACTTATGTGTGAAACATCTGTTGTGTGTTTTGTGTGTTGCTGCACTCCCCAGCCCCCCACCCCATGCAGAAGTTCTGTTATTACCCCTGCTTTGCATGTGAGGAAACTGAAGCCCAGAGAAGGTAGCTTGTCCAGACAGTTAAACAGATTTCCTTATTGCAGCACTTGTCAGTATCCTTTTTTTTTTTTTTTTTTTTTTTTGCTGCATTGAGTCTTCATTGCTATGTGCGGGCTTTTTCTAGTTGCGGCAAGCGGGGGCTACTCTTTGTTGCAGTGCACGGTCTTCTCATTGCAGTGGCTTCTCTTGTTGCAGAGCACGGGCTCTAGGCGCGCAGGCTTAGTTGCTCCGTAGCATGTGGGATCTTCCCAGACCAGGGCTCGAACCTGTGTCCCCTGCATTGGCAGGCAGATTCTTATCCACTGCGCCACCAGGGAGCCCTGCCAGTGCCTTAATCACGGCATTCCAGTGGCTATCTACACTGTCCAAAAGAAGCAGTTGTTAGGGCAGCTGGGCTGGGGCTGGGCGTTGTGAACTTCTTTAACTTTTTAAGGTAACTGAGGGATGAAGATGGCCTCCCTTAGCTGTTTAAATGCGTGTTATTACATTGCATGTGCGTTTTAGTGGGATGTTCTGAACGCTGGCTGCATCGTGAGTCTCCGAGACAAGATGGAACATGCCACATCGTGGCATCTGACCGGGGCCTGTCTATGGTCCTAATTAGGTCCTGGCTCGTTGCTAAGTGCTTTATGGACATGATCTTATTTAAGCCCCTGGGACAGCTGTGTGCACCTCGTGAGCTGAGAGGTTCCCACTGTGCAGGTGAAGAGCTGGGTCCAGGAAGGTTGAGGGGCCTGCTCAGCTCCGTGGGATTAGGACGTGCCAGAGCTGGGACTTGCACCATGTGTGCATGACCCTTCTTGCTCCCCGGGGCTGTAGGTGCCAGACGGATATGCCGTCTGCTGTCTTGGGCAGCTTTGCTTGTCTCTCACCCAGGGCCACGATCATGTCTCTTGAGGACTTTGAACAGCGCTTGAATCAAGCCATTGAAAGAAATGCCTTCCTGGAGAGCGAACTGGACGAGAAGGAGAATCTCCTAGAATCTGTTCAGCGACTGAAGGATGAAGCCAGAGGTCAGGAGGCCTTGGCTTTGCTCTGTGTGTTTCACCACCGTTGTGCCCTCTCCGGGCCTGAAGGTGTCCTGTCCCACAGCATCACCCAGCATTACCTGTGTTCTGAGGGCAGGGAACACACCGGGCAGGCTGAGCCTTGGTCCCCACCCTGTGCTAAGAATTGTCCGATGTCCAACCCTGTAGAGACCCTTTGTGGGTATTTAAGCCCAGCACCCACTTTATGCCCAGCAGGAGCACAGGAGTTTTGTGGGGAGAAAATGCCTGTTGATGGAATTGCTAGCCAGCCCATTTCTTTTGTGACTTGATAGCTGCTGATACACGTGGCTTGGAACTCCAGAATCTCATCAGCGTTTGCTCTTTGGAGGTAGCACTTCCAAAGGTAGAGCTTTCTAACTCTAAGACATTAGCAAGTCATCCAAGTTGGGTCCATAAGAGATTTTGTTAAAGTCCCAATTAATTGTTCATGACATTCATTTCGTTTCTAATGTTTAGCCAGTAGAAGGGGGTTTAGAAAGAAAAACTCTTTTAAGTTTAAAAGGTAGTTGTTCCTAAATGCCCATCAGTAATGAAGTGCTTAAGTAAATTACATAGATTTATTTTGTGGAATGTTAGTTAAACAGTTGTTCAAACAAATACGGTATAGATATAAATGTAGTCATAGAAAGCTTGTTAAGGGACTTCCCTGGCAGTCCAGTGGTTAAGACTCCGTGCTTCCACTGCAGGGGGTACGGGTTCGATCCCTGGTTGCTGAACCAAGATCCTGCATGCCGCTTGGCCAAAAAAATTAAATAAATAAAAAAGCCTATTAGGACATACCATTGAAGGGGGGAAAACACATAGATAGTAGATGTATGTTTCTATTTGCGCTTAATAAAAGTTATTCATCTTATATGCTTAATAGATACACATATAAACTCTATGTGTGAAATGCAGGGAAAAAGGATTGAGAAGATCTCCCTCATGTTACAGTTGATTAGGAGTGAGAAGGGGCATTTGAGGACGGGTTGGGAAAGCACATTTTCACTGAGTATTCTGTGTATACCTTGATACATTTGAATTCTCTTAAAACAGTAAAAGCAGTAGTGTATCACTGCCATGATTTGAAAAAAATTTTAAACCTTTTTGTTTTTACTCAAATAAAAACCATGTAGTTTTGCAAGCCTTCCAGGCAAGGTCCTGTGGGGTTTGCTTCATTCAGGGTTTCCACCTGGAGTTTTTCACTCTGATCGTTCTTCTTGCTGACCAGTGCCTCCTGTTGACCCTCCCCTTGCCTCATCACTCAAAGCAGAGACTTAAATCTGAATCCTTTCCCTGGCCCAGATTTGCGGCAAGAATTGGCTGTGCAGCAAAAGCAGGAGAAACCCAGGACTCCCATGCCCAGCTCTGTGGAAGCTGAAAGGACAGACACAGCTGTACAGGCCACTGGTTCCGTGCCATCCACCCCCATAGCTCATCGAGGACCCAGCTCTAGCTTAAACACACCTGGGACGTTCAGACGTGGTAAGGAGGATGGGAATCAGGAGGGTTTTCTTGGCTTCACAAAGCTTTCCTGGGTGAGAACCAGGGCGGGTCCTGGGTGAGAGAGAAGCAGGACCAGGCTGTACAGCAGGGAGCAAACTGGGGTGCTCACAGGGGCAGACCATTGTGGTGGGTGGGAGGAGCCTCTTGGATGTAAGACGATAGGGAGTAGTGGAGTCTGCGGCAAAGTAGAGAATGGAAGCCTCATCCAGAGGGGCAGCTGCTACTCTGCTTCTACCACAAAGAGGTGTGGGCCCAGCAGACACTCCACTCTTCACCAGAAGCCAGAAATCCTCTTGTCTAATATGAAATCTCCCAGTAACCAAATAAAAAATTTAAAAAGGATTCTGTGGGTCCAGCAAAACATCATCTAGAACTGGACCCAGCATAACCTGTGCTATGCAGTAAAAACCAAGAAATTTGAGTTCTTCCCCAGCCCCTCTGCTGACTGATTAACTGTGAGGCTCTGATTGGGCCACTTAATAGTAAATAATAAAAATAGACAATTATTGCATACGTAGGATATACCAGTCCCTCTGCTTACTGTGCTTTGTATTTACATATGACCTCACTGGATTCGCACCACGGCCCAAGACGCAAGTAATGCAAGTGCTGTCCCCATGTGATGGATGAGGAGACTGAGGCCCTGAGTTAAGGAGCTGGCCTGACATCACGCAGCTGGCAAATGGCAGGCCGGCTCCCGGGGTTACACCACCACATGCTCCCTGTCCCTCAGCTTGTGCCCAGGATGAAGGGAGTGTGAGGTTTCCACAATCCCAGGCTAGACCACACTTGAATAAGCACACGACTCAGCTGGGCCTCAGATTTAGCAGGTCTGGGCAGGGCCTGAGATCCTGCGTTTCTAAGAAGCGCCCAGGTGATGCTGGTCCTGCTGCTCCGTGAGCCCTGCTTTGAAGAGAGAGGAGGCTCTGAGGAGCAGAACCCTTACCAGTGGGGCTTGTTCAGATGCTGTTAATGTTAATTAACTGTATGGAATTCCTAGAAGTTTAAGAGGGCCTGTTTTGATTTTGTTTAAAAAGAATAGCAGGTAAAGATAAATATTAAGTATAGTCATTATAAGGCTGCAAGAAGCTGGTCATCAGATATGCTCTTGTTATGTTAGGCAACAAACCATTGACCGAAACAGGGCAGCGTTGGGATCAGAGGGGCTTGCTCGCCCACCCCCGGGTTTCACGTTCAGAGACGTTAGTGCCCAGACTTTTGAGTGTGTGTTGGTGTCATGTGTGCATCCTTTTGCACACGCAGGTCTGGACGACTCCACTGGGGGGACCCCCCTCACGCCAGCGGCCCGGATATCTGCCCTCAACATTGTGGGAGACCTGCTGCGGAAAGTGGGGGTAAGACGGCGCTTCCCCAGGGTCTGTGTGGTGTCTTCTGTCTTCAGGAGACTTGAGGGGTGACCTTACCTATTGCTTCCCCTCTGGCAGAGGCTTCATTAGGTGCAGGTGTCACCCTGGCTCTCGTGTCCCTTACAGTTGCTGTGCTTCTATGGGTGTTGTTTCTGACAAACACCCGGGCTGTGACCCTGAGTCACCCTTTGATCCCCGGCTATATCTTTCTTTCCCTGTACCATTTTCCCTGGCAATTTGGGAGATTCGGATGGTATCTATGATATTTTTTCTTAATTTGAAAAAACTGAGAAACATTTGAAAACTGCCTTCCCTTTTTTTAATTTCTCAGGGAGTTAAAGGGAAAATCTTGAAAGGCTAGGGCAGAGAACATGACCTTATAGGTTTTATGTTAATTCCAGGGAAGGAGCCTTTTGTGCTTAAGAAATCACATAGATATTCTCTGTAGTTGTTTTTCTTAGTTTTAAAAATGATGCCTGGAAAGCCACAGAGTTTAAGTCCTGCCAGTCTGTCATTGACCAGAATGTATGCATTCAGAGTTAATAGAAGCTTGCAACTCGTTTTCTATGTTTTTCCTTTTGGCTTTTGTCTTTTTTGGATCGCTGTTATATAAGCAGGTTTTTATGTTTAGTTAGAGTATACAGAAGCTCAGGGTGATCTCAGTACCCATTTGGTTTCCAGAGGGTCTGTTTACAGCGAGACAAGTCCTTCTTCAAACCTCCTGCCACTTGGTGCATGTCTTACAAGGTAGCGGAGAGAGTGAATGATTCCAAAAGTTTATTTCATATTTCTTGTAGGCAGACTTAAATCATAGGTCGGGTTGGGGACTCTTCTGGAAGCTCCTAAATATCTTAGACTACCAGTTCTACGAGTTGGACATACATTGAATTTGGTGATGGGGTGGAGCACGCTTTGGGATTCTAACACACAACCCAGTTTGACAACCACTGTCTTAAGCTATTATTATGTGTATGGGCTCTGGTGAGAGGCAAGAGTTCTTGTCTTCAGCTTGAGACAGGAAAGCATATTTCTCTCCAGGCTCTGGAGTCCAAACTTGCTTCCTGCCGGAACTTCGTGTATGATCAGTCCCCAAACCGACCCAGTGGCCCAGCCTCAGGGTGGGGGAGCAAGAACAGAGACGGCGGCGACAGACGGCCAGGCAGCACCAGCGTGCCTCTGGGTGACAAAGGGTCAGTACCTTCTGCTGTTCCTCCTCAGTGTCGGGAGAACCCATCCTCTCCAGCCGGGAGCCTCTGACCCCTGACCCACAGCCATTTTTCAAAGTCGCAAGATTATGTCAATGAGACATTATCCTCTACTCCATCCCTTAAGACAGAGTTAGGTGGTGTCTGCTGGTTTAGGCAAATGGCCAAGGAGAGGGTCATTTTTATTACTTGATTCTGCAGCCCCAGCTTCTGGTCATGCTGTGAGAATGTCCTTTGAATAAATCACTCCCTTGTTTAAGACTCAAGCTTCAAACACTGCTCTGCTTCCCCCAAAAGAGGATTTTTTTTTTTTTTTTTAACCTTTAGAACCTTCAGGAAACTGAATCAGCCAGACTAGATTACTGAAGCCAGTCACCTGATTGGAAAACACAAATCTGACCTCTAACAGCTTCATTTATTTTCTTGCCTGAAGAAAATCAGTGCAGCTTCCAGATTCTAGAATTCTGTAAGATGTGCCACCATCTCACTGGACCCCAGGCCACGTAAATTTGGGAGCGATCAGTGGCAGACAGAGGACAGGAAATGAAGAATCGTTCTCCCCAGCATGCACATAACTTCCGGACCTTTAGATGTGGGTGTTTTTTTTGGAGCGTCTTCTGCGACTGGGCTTTTTGCGTGGCCTTGGGCATGTGAGCCCTAGATAGCCAGTGTCCTTTTCTTCATTTCACAGGAGAGAAAATTGAGACCCAGTGAGACACTGCTCCCGACCTTGATATTCACTCTTATAACTTTGTGGGGCCCCGTGCTAGCCAGTCTATAACAGCTGTAATGTCCGCCTAATTTGGTTTGCTCTGTCTGAAGGTTGGGAAAACGCCTGGAATTTGGGAAGCCGCCTTCAAATATTTCCTCACCATCGCTGCCGTCAGCCCAGGGTGTAGTCAAGATGTTGCTTTAGGAAATCCACGGAAGCCAAGGCCCCGGTGTCTGTGCAGGAGTCATTTTATCCTCCTTCCCTCTTTAAACTAGGTTTTTGTTTTTTTAAGTTAGTTTGAGGTATACGAGCAAGCAGTCGCACTAGCCAGTGACGGTGGGGAGCGGGGATCGCCTGTGGCCCCGGGTGGTCGTCCCCAGGAAATGCCATCTCATAACCCCTGGCCTCCTTGTCGGGGTGTTGCCAATGGACAGGGACAAAGCGGACCCTCTGGAAATGGCAACGTGGGTGCTGAGGCTGCTCCATCATTTTCAGCAGACCTGAGTCCTGATTGGTCTTGAGAGGTGTTTTTCGTGACCGGGGACACCTATAAAGTGGGGTCTGAGCCCATCTCAGGCTCACTCCGGCCCCCACTTTGCTGGAGCTTCTTCCAGAACAAAATCTCCAGTGCTCTTTGGCACAGCAGGGATCAGTGCACTGAAATCACATCTAAGGGTGAAGAACAGAACAGGCATGTACCTTTTATTTAAACTGTGGTGTGGTGTACCTCTGAGACTTTTTAATCTGCCTCTCACTGAGTCTTTTAGAGGCATGCTTGAGTTTCGGAGTACGTTTTGTGGGACCAGGTCAGTGGAAACTCTGTGTCCTCTTTAGACCAGTCCTGGCTGTAAGTTGTCCTGAGCCCCTCTGTCCTGGCCTGGGGGTGACCTCTGCTTCAGGACCCTTAGGGTCTCTGGGGTGTGATGGCCTTGGTAATGCAGCCCCTAAGAACAGGACTTCATTCAAAGCCTTGATGAAATAATTGGGGTGACCTTCGGATAAGATTAAACCACCAAGACTGTCGGTGGGAGGTTCCTTATTAAAGAAGAGACGAACCCAGGATTTCCACACAGATGGCGTGCAGCTCATCCCTGCTGGTTGTGAACGGCAGTCTCACAATTTGGACGCAAGTAAAAAGAACACATGAATTCCAGCGTGTGTGTGCAGCTTAACGGCCTTCTGTTACTAAGTTATTTTTCCAAAAGAACAGCAAAAATATCCTTGAGTTGAAAACAGAACTTTTCAAATGCTACTGAAATTCAGCAGAGAATTAAACTTGAGTGCCCACTTCGTTGCCCTGGCAACATTCTAACCTATATCGGTAAAAGATGTACTTCTATTTTTTTAAAAGAACAATAAAATCAAGAGAAACTGATTTTCAGCTAGTTTGTGGTGGTCAGTAAATGCTGCTGCCTTTGTGCTTCTGTGTTTGCTATCTGGTGATGAAAAACTTTTGTTTTTTTAACCAAGTGACTATGAAAAAAACTACTTTTTTAAAGATTTCCTTTCGAGTCAGCTTCTTAGAATTGTATTGGGACACGTGCGTGTCCTGTTCAGGGTGTATTAGCATTTGGTCATTCAGTGCGTCCTTGGTTTCTGTAATTCCCCTCTTTTCAGTCTGTTTGATCCCATGGAGTTGGTGTATGGAGTCATATGTGTTGAGTGGAAACTTCGCCAGGGATCTCTGTCTAGGACATGCAGGCCAAGGAAGGGACGGGCCCAGGCCTGGGTTTTATGGCCCTCACGCCAAGAACGGTTTTTACATTTTTAAAGGGTGGTTTAATTTTTTTAAAAAAAGACAAAAATGTGACAGAGACCATGATGGAGGCTAAAATACTCAACTTTCTGGGCCTTTATAGAAAAAGTTTGTCGAGCCCTGCCAGGCGAAGTCTTGTGTTTTAACTCAAACATTCAAGGAACTCATATTCTTCACATTAAATACGTGCTGTTTTGATTGATAAATATGTTCTTCCCGGGCACGGTCCTACTCCCTGGGCCTCGAGCCACCCACCTCCTGTGTGGAGGAGCCCCTCACTCACACTCTGTGTCTCTGCTCTGCTCTTGGCCAGTTGTGGGGTCTCAGACGATTCATCTCACCTCCCTGGGCCTCAGTTTCCCCATTTAATGAAATAATAACCCTGACTTGATAGGGTTGTCATGAGGATTAAATGAGGCCACCCCCCCCACCCCGTCCTCTTTCTCTAGAAAACAACAGAAAAGTCAACTCTATTCTAGTGATTTATAACCTTTTATTAGTGAGGGTGTCCTTAAGTACAGCTGGGGTGCATATAAAACAGCGTGACATTCCTGCTCTTAGCCGTTTGAGCGGCGTCTCCTTTTTAATTCACGTGACTACAGAAGGCACTTGGTCTCGGTGAACTGTGTGCATCTGATGTGCGGGAACCGGAGGGAAGAGGAATTTTCAAACCAGGGCCCACCGGGACGATGGAAGAGTCCACGGGGCAGGAAGGGCTGGGGGTGGGGACAGTGGCACCCATCGTGGTGACTTTCTCCCCAGTTCATGTAAACTAAGTTGCCAGTGATAAGTTACCATAGATATATTTTTCTAAAAATTCAAAATCTCTGCACAGTTCTCGGCAGAGGGAGTGGGTGTGTCTGTGTCTCCTGTTGGGTTTTTCCCCTTCGGTACATCGTTCCAAACTTAAGTTGATGCCCTGAATGCAGGGTAGTGGTCTTTATATTCATCGTGAGGGGTGTCTGTGATGTTTGGAGTTTGAAAATGGATTTAGACGGTGCTAAGAGGAGTCCACTGGGTTTGGTTCTGTCCTGTTTTGAGCAAGTTGTTCATTCACTGGCTTTGGTTCCGTTGAAGTCTGCATCGCGAGCGTCCATATCCTCTTCAGAACCGTCCGCGTTTTCAATAACTCTGCGTCCTCCAGACCTTCTCGAGGGAACAAAAGAGGTCTCGTTCCCTCGCCTGTGGGTGTTAAGAAAACACATGTTTCTTTAGTACAGAAATCTCCCTCGAGCTTGGAAGAGATTTTCAGACGGGGCAAAAAACAAACACAAACAAACTCGAATGAGACGCAGATATTCAGGCTGAAGTGAACAAATCCTGACCCATATGGGTGCATTTAATCAGCTGGAATGGGGGCAAAGTAGGTTTTTCAAAGCAGGACCATCTGCTTTAAAAAATGTCTGGCTTGGTCATTTGCTGACCCACAGGATTCTGGTTGGCTGTGGATTTCTGTTTAGAAGAGAAGGAAAAAAGGCAAGTGGGGGTGATGGCCTCATGGGATTATTCCTACACTGTGGAGCAGGGATGAGGGGGACCTGTTGTGTCTGTACCTCCTTGCTTTCAGAAGGAAAAGGGGGCAGGGGTTTAGGTTTTGAATTGTAAGAAGGTGAGAATGACCACCAACCCTTGAGAGGGAAGGAGGTCCCTGCGTGGATGCCAAGGGTGCTGTCTGGTTAAAGGCACTGCATTGCTCTGCTTTTATGGAGCAGAATTGTTGTTCTGAGTTCCCCCAGGGCAGGGATCTCGCCTGTTTTGGGCGCACCATGGCAGGCACTGTGCAAGGCATAGAACGGGTGCTCAATGAATATTTGTCAGAAAAACATTAGACATGTTAATCCAGGGTGTCTTTTAGCCCTAGCTGGTGGGACACCCCTTTCTCTCTGTCCTTTCCGCTCCCACCTCCTCTCCTCCGTGCTGCTGGATGCCCTTTTCCCACAGGGCCTGCCCTGGTCACCTGAAGTGAGGCTTTGCGTAGGAGGGCAGGGTAGGCAGGAGGAGGAAAAATCAGACCCGCCTGCACTTAACCTCCACTGTTTGGAAGGAAAGTTTGCCTTCTTTTCAGCGACCACAACAAATAATGTTGTGTGTTGGGCTCCAGCCATCTGACCCTGTTTGACAGGTCTTCACTCATTTTAGGATGTCTAAGAAGAAAGCAAGTTTTTTGCAACAAAAACGACCTGCTTCGCCACACAAAGTATGGACAGAAAAGCCACGAGGGTGAGCCCATCCCAGTGAACCCAGCCCGTCAGTTCTTTAGTCAAAGGGGGCAACTCAGGTAAGACAGGAGGCATAAGCAAGGCCCAGAGATTTCCTGATCGCTGACATGGGGCTTCCCAACACGAGCCTTCTGGAGTCCAAGGGTGGGAGGAACCCGGGCTGGTAAAACCCTCTGGGGACGGTGGATGGTACTTCCCAAGGGGCAGCGATCAAGAATAAATACTTAGTAGCTACTGCCGACTAAAGACCTGGGTCAGCGTCACTCCCATCAGAGGGAAGCTTCTAGGCCTCCAGCCCCTTTTATTTATTTATTTCTTTTTGGCCGCACCTCAAATGCAGAACTTCCCCAACCAGGGATTGAACTTGTGCCCCCTGCAGTGGAAGCACAGAGTCCTAACCACTGGACCGCCAGGGAAGTCCTCCAGCTCCTTTGGAACTAACTTTCTATCACTCAGTCTCTAGAGGTTCTTTGAAAGTCTCTTCCTTCTTTAGCACTGTGTTCTCCAAGAACTCGGGACAGAGTAGGGTCCCGGCGTGCAGGGCTCAGCAGCCATCCACACAGCTCTCCTCCATGTCTAACCCTCCAGGTTCAAAACTGGATGGGATGGCCTGGAGCTGGAAACAGTGGCTCAGGCTCCCTTTGTCTCTCCGAAGAGTCTGCATTTGCTAACTAGAGGAGTTTAACTGATTAATGCGCTCCCTTGCTCTAAGAAGTAAATCAATCGCGCCTGGGTCCCTGTAAGCCCCCTGCGTGGGCACCAGTCCTGAAGCCGGTCTGTTCTGGTTCAGGGGCCTTTCTTGAAGGAACTGGCTTCAAATCCTAGGCAAAGGTTGACACTGGCTATATCTGTCACAGGAAGTAAAGGACCCCTCTAAAATTTTCTTAAAGGGTTTGATCCTGGAGAACTTGGATTCTATTCATGGACTCAGAAATGTATCTAAGGTACTCTTGGCATCCCAGGGATTGGCACAAGAGCGTAAGCACCTGCTGCTTTGCAAGGACTCAGTTTCCATCAACGGGTGGGTCCTACACCCCAGCCAACCCTAGACTCCAGCTTATCCCGTGATCGGGATGCGCTGGCAGAAAAACTACTCAAAAGCCGTGTCTTGGAGGTGTGATGCTCCTGCCTAAAACTCCTGCCAAGACCTCATCCAGCTTTAAGTATTTGGGTAGCGACAGCAAGGCGGGATTCTCCAAGAGAGAAGACAGACACAAGGCAGGGCTGGCTGGGTCTCTCAAGGAGGATGAGGCAAAAGCCAGGCCCCAGGTGCCTCACTTCATGTGTGAGGACATTGTCAGGATCCCAGAGAAGTTGAGGCCTCTCAACCCTGTCTTTTGAAGGCCCCGTGCGCTCCCTGAGTCTTGGGTGTCCATCCCCAGTCCGTGAACATGTGCCCGTGAGACCTCCAGTAAAGGATCTGCCTGGACCGCGCCTGGCCCTGTGGTGGCCGGTGTGGCCCTCGTGCACTGAAGATGCAGTTAGCAGCTGGCCCTCGCTCAAGCCCCACGCAACCCCAGTGAGACATCGGGGTGAGAGCTCGTTTCCTTCGCACGCGTGTGTGGAAACCCCACCTTGGGGGGCACATTGCTGGGCTGCGGCCACCGTGACCCTGTGCTTTGCTAATTCTGACTTGTGAACCAGACCAGCCAGATGGAAGCCGTTCTCCAGGATGGTACCCAGACAGTGGAGCTGGCATATCTGCTCAGTGTGGTGTCTGAGCCAGACGAGGGAGTACGGCACAGCCATGGCCTCATCATTATTAGGGGCCTGTCACACAGGTAAGAGCCATCCAAGCCACACGCAGCCTCTAAACCCTCTAAACCCTGTCAGCACGCGGCGACAGGCCACATCAGTGCCACGTCACACGCCAAAGCGGGAGGGAGGAAGGAAGGAAGGAAGGAAAATGGGTAAAGAGATGAGGTCTTCTTGTGTCGATGTTGGTTTTGATGAAAGACAGTTTTGAACTAAGATATCTAGGCCTTCAGATTTTGTAGGAATCCCGGGAATTTGCGAGGGCCACAAAAGGCGGGCAGGGGGGCGGGGGGGGGGGCAGGTTGGCAGAAAGGAAATGGAAACCAAGAGCCACAGACACGAGCCGCGAAGCTGCAGGCATGATACCTGGTGAGTCATTGCGGAGTTTCCTGGGGGAGGGGGCCTCTGAAACAGAGAGAGAGAGTCCCCGGTGGTTACCATCCTCCCATTCAAGTGCAATTTTAATCATCAATGCATTTGCTTCAATTAAATAATTAAAGGCACCTTTAAGTCACCCTTACGGTGGAGCACCTGAAGCCACGAGATCTCAGAGAGCCTGGCACACAAAAGGACGAGCCTTTTTTTTCCCCAATTAAAAAGCAAATTTCTGTCCTTCAGAGCTTCTCTGAAGAACTCAGGTGGCTTCCTCCCATTC